TGTATCACTGTGACCCAAAAAGTAAAGGCTGGAGTGTTTTCTTCAGCTTTTTTTTCGGCTGAGGGACGGGAGGGGGAAAGGGATGGGATAAACGAAAGGCGTCTTGCACTTCGTACGTCGCCTTCCGGCCGTTGACCGGGCTATGTACGATAATACGACCCCTCAGCGAACTCGGTGAATGGAGAGATTGCGCCTCATTCATTCGTTGTGATAACCCGCTTTGCGTTTTCGAAAAAGAGGTACACAAGAAGGGGAGGAGGGAAGAGGGGGAGAATAAAACATCGTAGGGGCAGGGGAGGGGATGAGAATTTAGGGGCGGATAAAACGCTTGTGGCAGGAGGGGAGGGGGTTTTGCTCCGGGTCGGATATAGTTTGTTATGTGGCAACATTCACAGTGACATTTTTCGCTGCATCCGACACTGGAAAGATTATTTACGAATGCTGGAGGTGTGAGGTACTTCAGCGTCGGTTCTTATAACTCATCCTATCAGAGAAGTAGTTGGTATATTCTCGGTTTGGTTATTCTTGATCAATTCGGGGGGATTGAGATTGGTGAGCAGGAGTGAAATCGGAGGTAAGGAATTGTGGAATAGCGAACAAGAGGGCTGTGACTGCGATTTTGAGGGATACAATGACTTCCAAATAGAATCGATTTTCAAAATGATTTCCATGATTACTGATTTGCACGATTACCCATTAATTTCCATAACTTTGTTCGCCAAAAAAACACTGGTACGTTTTTCAAAAGTCAAAATGTTGTCTTCTTAAAAAAAGTTCAACGCAAATATTGATTCATCAAAACTTGATGGTTTATTAAATTCAATACAAATTGACTCAAAACAGCTTCTGCTAACAAATGAATTGTGTATTAACTTTTCAGAAACAAGTATTTTAAAGTTTTTTTTTAATCAATCATTACTTTAAAAATATTTTTTACTTTTTCATAAATTCCTCCCTCGGAATACATTAGAGAAAAATGTGGATTCTGGTCAGGGATAACGATATCTACAAATTATAACTACCGTTAAATTGTTAAGTAGTTAATGCGATAATATCACTCTTAAATTTCAATTATTGAGATGATCATCACTTTGAATACTGAAAATTTCGAATTATTTATTAATCAGTAATTTAGGTAGGAAGATTGACAATTATTTGGGTAATAGAAAATCCCTTATGAGAAATTTAGTATTATTTGCTTAATAGAAAATTTACAGTTTCATATCATTAAATATTTAATTGATCATCAATTGGAAATTTAGATTATTCATTATTTTACTATTTTAAAATTTCGATCAGTATATTTAAACCTTAATCAATGTAAGTCGGAAATTCTTTAAATATTGAAAAATCGGAAGATTGATGGCCATCCTTGATTCCGAAGAGGGATAATTTTCTTTTGTTGAGTTTGAAAAAAAAATTATTCCACAGTACACAGGGTAGAATTTATCTTTAATTTTCATTAATTGTCAGTGATTGCCAAAGGTGGGAACAACTAAAAATAACTCGAATTTAGACCACAAACGTCTTAAAACAAGAGCCAAAAATGTCTTAATTTCAGACACTAATTTTTTGAGTGTGTAGGGTTTAAAATAAGCAAAATTCGCTAAAAACGACGGCGAAGACAGCTTTTAATTTCAAATGAAAATTCCAACAATAAATTTTCGCTCCCCGATTACGTAGATTGTACAGTAATTTTTATCTGACATTCCACAATTATTTTCACACTTTTCAAAAACTTTCGTAACGCAGAGCGAGTTAGAACTGGAAGCTCTATACCTCCTTCATTTTTATCCTTCCACGAATACCCCGTTCACCGATATTGAGAGCGAGCCTGTGCGCCTCAACGTTTGCATACTGCAGCTTTCATTAGCTGGCAAATAATGTCCACAGACGGATGGTAGAACCGGGGGTGCGGGGATTGGCTCACTGAAATGCTTCATTTCGCTGTAAAAATAGAGGAGAATATTGAGAGAGGCGGTAGCATGGTGATGTGAGGAAATTTTGTGAGGCAGGCTGTTGATTGGAATTTGTTATAACATCGAAGTTATCTTAAATCACGAAAAACTGAATCAGACATACTCGGAGAGTGAAATGATGCATTCGGCAGGAGAAAAGGTCTATTTAAATGATGGCCGCGACTATTCGCACCATTGCGTGAGTTACTCCCGTACACTCCATACACTCCACGCATGCGTGAAGTTTGTGTGTTTCACGCAGCCGAATTTTCATACTGCTGTGTATTTCACGCAGTTGAAGTTTCATACTACTGTGTGTTTCACGCAGGTGTATTTTTATACACCTGTATAAAACTTCAACTGCGGGAAACACACAGGTGTATAAAACTTCAACTGCGGGAAACACACAGGTGTATAAAACTTCAACTGCGGGAAACACACAGGTGTATAAAACTTCAACTGCGGGAAACACACAGGTGTATAAAACTTCAACTGCGGGAAACACACAGGTGTATAAAACTTCAACTGCGGGAAACACACAGGTGTATAAAACTTCAACTGCGGGAAACACACAGGTGTATAAAACTTCAACTGCGGGAAACACACAGGTGTATAAAACTTCAACTGCGGGAAACACACAGGTGTATAAAACTTCAACTGCGGGAAACACACAGGTGTATAAAACTTCAACTGCGGGAAACACACAGGTGTATAAAACTTCAACTGCGGGAAACACACAGGTGTATAAAACTTCAACTGCGGGAAACACACAGGTGTATAAAACTTCAACTGCGGGAAACACACAGGTGTATAAAACTTCAACTGCGGGAAACACACAGGTGTATAAAACTTCAACTGCGGGAAACACACAGGTGTATAAAACTTCAACTGCGGGAAACACACAGGTGTATAAAACTTCAACTGCGGGAAACACACAGGTGTATAAAACTTCAACTGCGGGAAACACACAGGTGTATAAAACTTCAACTGCGGGAAACACACAGGTGTATAAAACTTCAACTGCGGGAAACACACAGGTGTATAAAACTTCAACTGCGGGAAACACACAGGTGTATAAAACTTCAACTGCGGGAAACACACAGGTGTATAAAACTTCAACTGCGGGAAACACACAGGTGTATAAAACTTCAACTGCGGGAAACACACAGGTGTATAAAACTTCAACTGCGGGAAACACACAGGTGTATAAAACTTCAACTGCGGGAAACACACAGGTGTATAAAACTTCAACTGCGGGAAACACACAGGTGTATAAAACTTCAACTGCGGGAAACACACAGGTGTATAAAACTTCAACTGCGGGAAACACACAGGTGTATAAAACTTCAACTGCGGGAAACACACAGGTGTATAAAACTTCAACTGCGGGAAACACACAGGTGTATAAAACTTCAACTGCGGGAAACACACAGGTGTATAAAACTTCAACTGCGGGAAACACACAGGTGTATAAAACTTCAACTGCGGGAAACACACAGGTGTATAAAACTTCAACTGCGGGAAACACACAGGTGTATAAAACTTCAACTGCGGGAAACACACAGGTGTATAAAACTTCAACTGCGGGAAACACACAGGTGTATAAAACTTCAACTGCGGGAAACACACAGGTGTATAAAACTTCAACTGCGGGAAACACACAGGTGTATAAAACTTCAACTGCGGGAAACACACAGGTGTATAAAACTTCAACTGCGGGAAACACACAGGTGTATAAAACTTCAACTGCGGGAAACACACAGGTGTATAAAACTTCAACTGCGGGAAACACACAGGTGTATAAAACTTCAACTGCGGGAAACACACAGGTGTATAAAACTTCAACTGCGGGAAACACACAGGTGTATAAAACTTCAACTGCAGTTGAAGTTTTATACACCTGTGTGTTTCACGTAGTTGTATTTTTATACACCTGTGTGTTTCATGCAGTTGAAGTTTTATACAGGTGTATAAAAATACAGCTGCGTGAAACACACATGTGTATAAAAATACAGCTGCGTGAAACACACAGGTGTATAAAACTTCAACTGCGTGAAACACACAGGTGTATAAAAATACAACTGCGTGAAACACACAGGCGTATAAAAATACAACTGCGTGAAACACACAGGTGTATAAAAATTCAACTGCGTGAAACACACAGGCGTATAAAAATTCAACTGAAGTTGCACAAATTTAAACGCTCATTTCTTATATAAAAAGCAGATGTCACACGTTTATTCCTAAATATCTGAAAGGGAAATCGCATACATGATGATGATGATACTGATTTTGTTGATAATATTGATCTTACTAATGGTGCTGATGATGTTGGTCTCAGATTCTCAATTGAAGTTTTCTTGGATTTTTTTTTATTTTAAGGCCTCCCATTCGGCACTCTATCCAACCCTATGCATGCGGCTGTGGATTCTACGCTGTACCGCATTGGCACTCCTATGGAACATGGAAGTAGCATGGGGAAACCACAGAAAACCCATGCCGGTACAGGCGGTTCCTCTATTAGCAACCTCCCGGTCGCCGGAGCCTTCTGTTGAAAAATTTGGTTCCGCGGGGAATCGAATTCACAACCTTTCGCATACTAGACTTGCGTCTAATCCACTCGGCCACCGACGTCGATAGTTTTCTTGGATTTTGACGAATTTTTTAAGGACTCTTAATAGAAATTTCTATGGAAAATCCTATAGATTTCTATGGAAAATCCTTTGCTTTCTGATGCATGTTTTCATACCTTTCGTCGTATCTCCTATTGATTCTCGATGGACATTTCCATCCCTTTGCAATAAAAAAAATCGTAGATTTTGAATAGAAGTTTTCATCGGTTCCCATGAATTTCTCTTTAGTAATACTATAGAAATTCGTATACATGAAAGAACATATTGATTCCAATCAACTTAAATAATAACGTGATGAATCATGTAAAATCTGTCAAATTGTCAGGCGCAGGGAGCGCGGCTTCGATCTCGTAATTGAAACATCAAAAGACACCGAGTTATAATTTTTTAATATAATTTTCTGTTGCAGAACTGCAAACGTGACCGCCATTTATTTCTTCACCATTGAATGTGGGTAAGTGAAATACGTCTGATTTTCTTTTCTTATTTATGTCACGGCTACGTCAAAAGTGCGACTTATTGCTTTGTTGTGCGTGCAATACATTGCGTATTATGACCTTATGCATTAAACAATTACGAAATGCGATATATAACCTCTAGGGCGAAAAAAAGGCACCACCAGCGCCGCTGGTGGGATGAATAGAGAACGTCGCGAGCACTATGCTATAACGAAAGCGGCAATGTGCAATGGCGTTCAATCCCGTTGACGTTGTCGTTGGTTACCAAATGGTATTTTTTGTTGACATAAAAGAGTATTATTTGTTGAAATAAAGTTTATTATGTTCAACAAATTAAAAGAAGTATTATATGAAACTTGTGGAAGACAGTTTTTTGATTGCATTTGAACAATAATCTTTTATGTTTGAAATAGCTGGGCTTTTCTTCAACCAAAAATTATCAATAAATTGTAGAAAACTTCTTTTCCATTCAAATAAAATTGATTATGGAGTTTGAAGATGATTATAGGATTTGAAACATTATTATTTATCATTCAGTGATAATTTGGGTTTTCTTCAATGAGTTTGATTTTCCTTCAGTGACTTGTGAGTTTGCTGCACGAGCCGAAGGCGTAATCACTCTCGTCATAACCTGTCACTTATCGCCCTGATATCACAATGTATTATTATAGATATTGAATGTGGAAAATGAAGAAATTACAAGTTCGATGGCGACATTAGTGGCCACATGAGTAGTCTGCGGCTTCAGGGGTCGTCTAAGCTAAGCAGCGTTTAGTTTGGTTAGTATTTAGATGGATGTGCGCTTAGCCCTACCTCCTAGTGCGGAACTGCTACCGTCAGGCGCGAATGTAGAGACCTACTGTACCCGTCTATCACACTGACTATCCTGCACTATCGGCCGGCTGTAGAGCTGGGGTTTTCCATGGTTTCGGTTGGTTTTTAGAAGAGTAGGACAGGCATAGGGGCTGTTCTACTTAGTCCTACAGCATAAAGGCTGTCCTACTCTGAAGTGGGGCGCCTACAAAACTGTAACGGTAGTAGGAAGGAAACACAATTAAGGTATTCATGGCGTAGTCAAGGAAGGTTGAAAAAAAGTCAAGAAATTGATGATTTTTTAAATATATTCTTTGATTTTTTCAAAACCCTTATGGAAAATCCCAGATAGCCTAGGAGAATGGGTGAAACACAGGATTTTTTCTAAAAAATGCATTTTAACCCGGGCTCTTATGGGAATTCGAGAAAAAAATGTTAAAAATAGAAAAAAAGTTGCCATTTACCTGAAATTTCGCACTTGGATGAAGCTTTCAGGGAGGAACATAAAAAAAAATCCAAGTGGCCTAGGAGAAATGTTTAGAAGGGATAATTAAAAAACTCATGAAAGATAGGAATTTTGCGTGCGCAACTTAAAATAGCGACAACGTCGAGGTTATATAGGGCGCGTTTCGCAATCGACTTAGTAGCAGTAGCAGTACTGTAACCCTATCTAATTTCGCTTAACTGCAGCTACAGTAGTTGATTCCGAAACGCACCCATAGATCGTGAAGGGGTAAGCGCGGCATATACGAATGGAGTTGTGATGATACATTTCGCTATGGGAAGGACCATAACAGCTGAGTGAATCAGTCCGGCCAACTTGTACGTTGTCACTTTTTTTTATCCATATGAATTATTTTCCAATTATCCAAAATACAAGCTAGAAAAATCAAAGAAGGCTTGAAATATGTGGAAAAAAAAGAAAAGTTATTAAAAAAATATTTCGAATACAAAAATGGTCAATATAGATTGAAACTTTGTGATTGAAATAACGTTATTTTTTTCGTTTCGCGATTGGTTTTCTGCGAGAGAACAATAGATTTCCCTCTGTCTCACCTTCTACATACCCACTCCGCTTTAAATACCTTAAAAGAAAATACATCTTCGATATTCGACCTATCACCAGGAATTAAACATTCCAAGAATAATCTGCTTCATTCTTCCTAAAAATATATCGTAAATTAGTGTACATAGTATGGAAATTGATGCGTTGAAATATTGTCGTTCTTACACCATGTCGCAAATATTTATGGGAGCTAAGGGTCAAGTCTCCCTCGCCACTTTTTTTTATTTACCTAAGGGAAGCAATCACATCCACTCTATACACCGTCCCCATCCCTTGTGTAACTTTGTTACCCGGGGATCAGGCGAGGTCACACACAATGCTCACGGTAGTTCCACAGGTCAAGGGGCAGGGAAAATAGAGACACGCGAAATCTGTTCCGGTGACAAGTTTGAAAAAAGTTTCTTTCACAGTTGAATCAATACTTCCATATTTCAGAAACCTTACCATACGCATTGGGAAAAGAAGTTGTTCAAACAACAACAAAATTACTGGGCCATTTGAGGGAATATCATGAGCATACTTGTATAATCATCTCGTTAATGAGTGATTTTAGACAGAGAGAAAAACGAAGGAGATATCAATTTTTCTCAAATTTACATAATGATAAATACAAATTCGTCATACAAATTTTAATTTTAAATTATATATGGACAGCATACTAATGGTCGAAAAGCTGATAGCAAAAGGTATGAAATTCATGTGAATAATTGAAACTTACATATTTTTTTTTTATCTATTGAAACCAAATTTATAACTTAGCCGGCGATACAGTTATGCAGTTAATAGTTATTAACAATTTACTTATTTAAGTGCGTTTTACGCTGCTATTTTGATAGATATAAAAAATGTTTGAAACAAACAATGTTTTTTGAAAATGAACGAATAAAATGAATTTTGATTTTTGAAATGTAAATATGGGCCCTAGGGGAGGGTGTGCCTATACCGCCCACCTAAGGGGAAATGCCAGTTTTATCTTTTATATTTCAACTTGAGTATAAAAAACATATTTGTGAGACTTCTTTAACTATTGAACTCGTTATTTTCGAAGTGTAGACACCTAATTCTTCTTAGAATGCACAAAATTGATTGAAAATAAAAGAGAGAGCCTATTGAGCGGTACTACCCGCCGTCGAGTAATACCGCTCGGCACGATTCCAATGCCTCTCATAGGGTTTTGCGTGTATCGCTCGCGCCACAACCTAACCTGTACTCGAGTGTTGTCGAGCAACTACATGGCCGATCCTATGAGCGGTATTTTCGGCTCCGCTCGGCGTCAACAAAATTGTTGATAATTATTGACATGAGTGCAGTTTTGAGTTCGAATTGGTCTCAAATTACGCGCGAAAGTACCACGAATCGAATAACCACAGTTTAATATGAGGATTTAGCGTTTGAAACTATCAAAAACCTCAATTCCAAATCCACAAATTTTACACTGTAAAGACCTTAAAACTTCGTTAAGTGTTTTTTCATATTTAAAGTGGTAAATTAAGTGAGATTTTTCCGACAATCACATCCTATCATGACATTCTTCATGATCAGTAACAGAAAGAAATTTTCAAGTTGATGGTTGTGGAGAAAATCGGGTGAGCGGTATTACCCGCTGAGCGGTACAGGCACACCCTCCCCTATACTCTAGGGCGTATTGAAAATGCCAAATCTTGGTCAAAGTTTACAAGTCTCAGAAGAATGAAAAAATAGTATATTTATTATCTGTCGACGCAACTTTTTTGTTTCAAGGTGTTTCTTCCAGAATATTCTATCTATTCGTTTGACTCGGAAGGCCCTATGGGTGCATAGGACACTACACGCGTCAGAGGTAACATCACCGCCCAATTGTTACAAACTACAGAGAGAAAAAAAATACCAGAAAAATTACTGTGCTTGCACGGTAAAATTGCTTCATTTGGACGAACTCGGAAAAATTACCGTGCCAACACAGTAATTTTTCTGGTATTTTTTTCTACGTGTAATTTTTCACAAAAATATTTCAAAAATCAAAATTCATTCTGTTCGTTCAATTGCTACGAAAATGGTTTGTTTTAAACATTTTTAATATAATAAATAATGAACCATTTTTTGATTGAATAATGAAATTGTTAATAACTATTGACTGCATAAATTACCAATTCCGTTTCAGCACATCGAAACGCATAAAATATGCAAGTTTCAACTGTTCACATGAATTTCATACTTTTTCCTGTCATCGTGCGCTCAAAGAAATGAAAACCACTGGCGATAACCCTTCTGAAACACCCATAGGGCCTTCCGAGTCAAACGAATAGATAGAATATTCTCGAAGAAACACCTTGAAATAAAAAAGTTACGTCGACAGATAATAAATATACTATTTTTTCATTCTTCTGAGACTTGTAAACTTTGATCACGATTTGGCATTTTCAATACGCCCTAGAGTATAGGGGAGGGTGTGCCTGTACCGCTCAGAAATGCTCAGTAAAAATTGGGGAACTCACAATTCGCTCACCGATTACGAAATCGACTCAGACAATTTAAGTGACGGTATCGTAATTTTTCACAGGAAATTCAGATAAAAATTACGGAATGCTCTGGAAAAATTCCGTGACAGTTCTGCAAAATTTCCTACAACCACATTTCGCTTCGGAATTACGTAAAAGATACGTAATTTTTATTGAATATTTCTCTCCGTGTATAAAGTTGAAATCAGTAATTTGTTTATAGAACCTAAAACTTGACCTAGTTCCTAGACCTAGTTCCTTCTTCCCTGTGAATATTCAATGTTCCACGAGAAATATCGGTCTATTTGCTTGTCATTTTCAGTGAAAACAGAAAATTCAAAGACTTGGCATGAATTTCAAACAGATTTAGCAGTTAGTTCGGACCACGCGGATTCGCGAGTTGGGGATATGAGACGTTTTCTCATCATGCTATTGCAAATCCCTCAATTAAATTTCCAAATTGTCGAAGAGAATGCAATTTTGTCGCTGCAATTTCCACAAAACTCGTTCATTATTTTTAATCAAAAGACTTGATGACGCGGTAATGTATGATAAAAGTGAAATTTCGACAGAAACCACTGGCAATAACCCTTTTGAAAGACCACCACCTCCATTCATAAAATATCCCCTGGGAATGTAA